GACGGTGTCCTGTTGATCAGATAAACTGATGTTTTCACTGCCTTAGCCCAAAACACTTTTGGCAAACCTGATTCACTTAAACACTCCTTACCCTCTCAAGAATAGTTCTGTTCATTCTTTCAACAACCCCTCTGTTGAGGAGTGTGGGGAATTGTCTTATGTCTCGATATCCCATTATCTGAACACAAACCATCAAACTCCTTATTGCAGAATTATAAGCCATTGTAAGTTCTAAGCCGTTTAACTTTCAAACCAGACTGATTCTCTACCAATGCTTTCCATTCAGCACACTTTTCAAACGCTTGATCCTTAGACCTCAGAAAATACACCCATACTCTTCTGGAATAATCATCAATCAAACTCAGGAAGTAATGACAGTTACCGAATGATTGTGGGACAGTTGGAGAACCCCACAAGTCAGCATGAACGTATTTCAGACAGTTTTGACTTGTATGTTTCCTTGTTGAGTAACTTTGACGATGTGCTTTACCAAACACACAGCTCTCACAAAACTGAATATTCGACACTTTTTTCTTGTCAAGATATCCATTTTTCACCAAGATTTCCAATACCTTTTGAATTATGTGACCCAGTCTACTATGCCAAAGATTGGTATCATCCTTCAAAGACACAACATTGATTTCTCATGTATGGCTTTCCTCTTGCAAAAGATACAGCTTATTTGTTCTATTGGCCAGAATAACCGGCTTTCCACCCTTCCGAACCTTAAGAAGACCATCTTCTGACTTGAAAGTACACCCTTGTTTTTCAAATGTTCCAAGAGACAACAGATTCTTGAGAACTCAGGGACACACCTCACATTCTTAATCAGAACATAGCCTTCAGGCATCTTAATCCTGATGGAACCGATACCCATAACTGCTGAGACGGACTCATTAGCCATCCTCACAGATCCCGCTGCATACTCTTCTAACTCTATAAACCATTCCCTTCGTGGAGTCATGTGAAATGTGCAACCAGTATCCAAAATCCAAACCTGATCATAATCCAGTGATTCTGCAACATTTACCGCAGACACCATCAAATACTCTATGAATTCAATACAAGTTACCGCAGAAGATTCCCCTGTCACCTGAGATTTTTCTTTGATCTTCTTAGGACAGTCACGCTTGAAGTGACCCCCTACACCGCAGACCCAACACGTAGGTGTACTACCTTTGCCTTTTGAGTTGTTTTTTCCTTTGTTGTTCTGCTTGCCAGATTTTGATCGTTAGCCCCTTTTCCTTTGTTTTTTTCCAGAATACAACACTTCACCCTGAGACTTGCTTCCCTTTTCACCAGACACTAACACAAGTTGCTTCGAGTGAATGGAATTAATAACTTCTTCTGCTACCGTGGTCTTTCCATTTTTGAGCGTATCCCTGAGATGACTAAACTGTTTTGGCAAAGATATCAACAGCAAGATAGCTTGATCTTCATCCGAGACCTCAACCATAACATTTCCAAGATCAGTTATAATCTGCAAGAACTTATCCAGGTTATTTTCTATAGAGACCGATTCATTCATCTTAAAACTATAGAGCTTTTGCTTCAAGTACATCCTATTTGGCAAATACTGAGACATATACTGAGCATCCAAGATTCTAATCATCCCTACAGCCGTTTGTTCCTTGATAATCTTTCTCAAAATCTTGTCAGAAACACTAGTGACAATAGTACTTCGTACCTTTCTTTGCTTCTTCTCCATTTCTGGATCTACATCGGCCACCTTAGATGCTTCATTGGTAAGCTTTCCTTTACCCGATTCATCTTTGACCTGAGGCTTCGACATCTCAAGCTCGTGAGCTTACGGCGGATGCTGCAGATAAGGAATCTAAATCTGAGGAAGAGAACTCCCCGATAATTTCAGTTTCATTTGTTGTTGTTGTTATGATAAATATGTGTTTATCATGGAGAGTCAACTCAAAATTAATTGGCCATAAGTGGATGTATCAGGATTCTTTATATATGTTTTATATCCCATCAAAACCTCCCGCGATAAAATATTATCTCACGCTAAACATTATCAAATTCTCCAGTTTAGTATATTGTTCTTTTATTGGTTTAATTTTTTTTTGGATTAATACAGTTTTAATATGCATGGAATAAGAAGCATTGAATTCGTAGGAATTAGCCATGCTGACTTAGATATATCATGGAAAGCATCAAACAATGTTCCCGAACTGAAAACACATACTTATACAAATTAATCCATTGGCTGTGGCATTAAACACTATGCTTAAAAACCTTAACTTTTGAATACGCATTAATGTTCAAGTTTGAGATGTTGACAAATCACCAAGACATCATATTTAGTTTGCTGACAATTTGGTCACAAATCTAGAAACACTTTTGATAAGTTGATCACTAACGTAAGATTATGAAACTGGGTAGCTAATCAAGTTCCAAGCTTAGTTTTAGAAGATGACTCAAACTAAGTATATATAGGTTCTACCGTCAAATTAAGTTGAGTTGGGATGATTCTGAGGCAAACTAATGCCTTTTTTGTGTCTGGGAAAATAATATTAATCGGTCAATCTTTTTCTCTTGTAAAAATATTATGCGAATCAGCATTGTTTAGATCGATTGATACATGAATGGATCCTTCAAATAATTTTTTCCCTTGAAATTTTCTTCCACATACTTCTTCTAATCAGAAAACTAGATTGTCTTCACGGCAACTGGCATAATATTTAATCGCACTACTTCTAAATTGTTGAGAATATCTCTTCCTTGTGATGATCCGAATTGAACTAGTGATACGACTCAACTTGATTTTTAGAGATGAATCAAAGAACAAATATGAACGCAGAAAACTAAACGACACACAGAATTTTTTAAGTTCAGGTGCAAAACCGCAACCCTACGTCTGGCTAACACTTGCTCGGAATTCACTAAAGATCGTCGTCAGACAATTCACCAGAAAATTTTCTCGAGATACAATTTCACTCACCGGAAACTATCTCTCTCTGTTTTCTCTCTCTGATACAAAGAATCTCTCCTCTCAGAAATTACAATGATCGCACACACAAAGAAGACTCACACCCCAAGACTGATGACCTTATCCGGTTGTAACAAACCGTAACAACTCCCTGCACGTGCACTCAACAGTCTAATGGTCACAAGTCCAGCTTCTGCTTCTTCGATGCTCAGATTCAACATGAAGCTTAAAACGACAACGTCTCGTAGAGCCTAATGAACCACTCCGGTTTAATTCCCGAAACCAAAACACTGATCTCTAAACCTGGTTCTTCCTCAATTAGCTTAATAACAAGAACCCGCTAACTGAAATGAAAGGTTTGCAAACCACAACACATCCGACAAAATCAACCTTGGTTGCAGAACCATTCATACAACCTCCTTAGTGAACTCCATCTCGGATTTCCTCAGTCTCAATCTTCAGAGACTCCCAGTAAGCTCAATAAACACTTGAACTTATTGACTGGTAGAACCTTCGTTAATATGTCAGCCGGATTCTTATTTGTGTGAATCTTTGAAACCTTTACTGCATTTTCCTCTACCCTCTCCCTCACGAAACTCAACCTTACAGCCATATGTTTTGTACGCTCATGGTGTATCTTGTTCTTGGCTAATGCCAGAGCACTCTGAGAGTCACAGAAAATCTCCACTTTTTCCTGTGGATAACCAAACTCAGCGCATAAGCCCCTCAGCCAAACTGCTTCTTTAGCCGCTTCAGTCATAGCAACATATTCAGACTCTGTAGTAGACAAAGCAACAACTTTCTGCAGAATAGATTTCCAGCTAATGACACAACCACCAGATACAAAAGCATAACCAGATATAGACCTTCTACGATCTAAATCCGCTGCATAATCAGAGTCGCAGAAACCAACAATTCTAAACTCTGAGTCTCTCTTGATACCAGACTCACACCCCAAGACTGATAACCTTATCCGGTTGTAACAAACTGTAACAACTCCCCGCATGTGCACTCAACGCTCTAACGGTCACAAGTCCAGCTTTTGCTTCTTAAAACGGCAACGTCTCGTAGAACTTAATGAAACACTCCGGTCTAATTCCCAAAACCAAAATATTGATCTCTAAACCTGGTTCTTCCTCAATTAGCTTAATAACCAGAACCCGCTAACTGTAACGGATGGTTTGCAAACCACAACACATCTGACAGAAATAAAATCTAACTTAATGATCTATCATGTGTCCAAAGTTTAGCTCGATTCATTGCTGGGAAGTCATCAACAAATGCCAAACTTCTAACCTCTACATGATCATACATCTTTATAAGCTCGTTCGCACCCAAAATGGTTCATTTTCTTTCATAGCGACGTAAAAGTTGAAAATACTCAACAGAATACAAAAAAAAAGAATAACTCTTAAAAGTCAATTTGACTCGATAAGAAAAAACTCAATAAAAAGTAAAAAAATGGTAAAAAATCATGTTTATTGTTCCATATATCAACTCTTAAATATGGTAAATAATTGGACTAACATGTGGAGTGTGATCGTTTACTACACAAACTTATTGTTTCATATTTCATCACTTGCAGGTTATCAAGTGACAATAACTTACAGTTAACTTATTCGTAAAAATATTCATGCCCGCATAACCTAATCATATAACCAATTGATACATCAAAGTTTTTGCAACAATTAATATAAATTTCAAGGGAGTGTAGTGTGGGTCACATCTTCTGAGTTGTGGAGTCGAGGACGTCTACATGGTGGTCTTCTAGCTAGTGTTTGTGGTGAGCCATCTTCCGCAATAGCAGCTCCACATGATCCTGAGGGCGGCGTGCTTATGTACGGACCATTGCCGCCTACTTGATCATGCCCAAAATATTCATGTAGTTGTGATAAACTTTAGTTGTTCAATACAATATCTTCATTATTTTACATCTTGACTTTTTTTTTTTTTTTTTTTTTTGAATCTAATGTTAAATTATACTCAAAAGAAAAAATAATGTTTTACAAACTTTGCTTAGCTTTGCTATTACATTTCAAAGGGAAAAACTACTTTGCTCTTATCTTGAGGCAAACCAGATCTCTAAGCCATCCTCGTACTTCCTCACACCATTGTTACGGATTGAGCAAATCTGATTTTTAACCAATTTGTCAATCATCCTCACCATCCTGAAAACCGTCAAAGCCTTCTCTCCATGTTTTCGATTGTTTCGCTCCCGCCAGATTGAGTATACGGTAGCCTGGA